GATCTCAAATCCCACCCAGTGCCACCCTGCCATGGACAGGACATCTCCCAGTGTCCCAAGGATCTCAAATCCCACCCAGTGCCACCCTGCCATGGCAGGGACACCTCCCACTGTCCCAGGGACAGCTCCCACTGTCCCAGGCTGCTCCAAGCCCTGTCCAGCCTGGCCTTGGGCACTTCCAGGGATCCAGGGACAGCCACAGCTTCTCTGGGAATTCCATCAGCTCCTCTCCACCCTCCCAGCCAGGAATTCCTTCCCAAAATTCCCATCCCGTGTCCTGTCCCCTGCAGGCCCTTGTAAAGGATCTCTCCCTGCACATCCATTAAAACTGCAGCCAGCTTTGCTTAGATTGGACGTTTTCTTTCCTGCTTTTCTAATTTTGAACCTTTTGGGGTTTGGAAAGCCTTGCTGGAATCTCCCTTTCCTCTCCTTGGTCATCCAGGAGCTCCTCACTCAGCTCTCAGCACCTCCATCCTCTCCTGGTGGCACTGCCCAGCTCAGGCAGCAGAAACCTGCAGGATCCTCTCAAAAACCCCAGTGGGGTGACCAGAGCTGACCCTGAGATCAGCAGGGTGTGAGAGCACAGAAAATCACTTAAAATTAAACAATTAAAGGTATTTTAATTACCACCACTGCTCCAAGGGGTTGGGGGTCACCCAGCCACACCTGAGGTGTCTCAGGGCTGCTGCCACAGCGGGGTGAAATTGGAATTAATCACAAATTCGAGATCAACCCTCAGAGTTTGTTCAGTTTCCAAATTTCCAGAGCCTTCCCTTCCCAGTAAAGTGCCGATGGAAAGCACAGCCTCAGAATCTTGAAAAATCCCAGACCAGGAGTTCTTGCTGTACCTCCTCATCCCACCCCTCACCTGCACCCCTGGAGCCAGCATTACACATTTTGACAATTCTATTTTCTTTCTGGAATGGAAAACATTTAATATCCTTATCTGATATCTCCTTTATTACACTGCCAGTTCCAAAGGAACCATAATTCAGCAGCTAAGCACAAACTGCTGTCACTCGTTCACCTTCTGGAGATGCTGCAGTGCCCTGAGCCAGCCCAGAAACACCAAAAATGGCCCAAAAAAATCAAATATCCCCATCAGAACCAGCTAAAATCCTGAAGTGCCCTCGTATGCAGCACTCCATGGCCATGGGATGTGCTCTGCAGGGAAATATTCACCTGCCTGCCCATAATTCCTGTGCACCACACTCCACGATCACAAGGGGGTTTGCATTTACAATAAAGCTGAAATCTTGGCCCCTACAATTTTGGAGGAAGGGTAAAAAGCCCAGAACTATTTATAAGACAACAGAAGTCCATAAAATTAGGCCTTAAAAAATTTAATAAAATTCGGGTTTTAAAAAATTTAATAAAATTCGGGTTTTTAAAAATTTAATAAAATTAGGTTTTTTTAAAATTTAATTTTTAGAATTTAGCACCTGTCCCAATTTCAGTCTTGGCTCTTCTCCTTGCCCATTGATTTTTGCATTTTCTCATCACTGCTGAGTTGGAAATGACTTGGAGGAAGCTGTTGTGATGTGCTCAGCTGTCAGCAGAGCAGTGTTTGAGTAGAAAAGTGTCAAGACAACAGCACACGAGTGCAGGAGCGGGAATTCAGGATTTTCCCACTCACAGCTGTGGCAGATGCATTGCAAATGAAGGAAAACACCCCACTGCGAATTTGGGAAGTTAAAAATTCAACAAAAAGCATTATTTCCTCCAATAATCCCACTCCTCCCTCTAGCAAAAGCTGGAGCTGCCCACTGGTTCCATTTTCAGCTAAATACGTGTGGGAAATCCCACAGAATTAATTCAGGTTTTTTCTGTAATAATATCTTTAATAAGACTCATCTTACTACATTAATTTGTTATTATTTTTTACAAACCCCCTGATTTTTATCTATATAAAATTCTAGAAAGTTGCACGGCAGTTAAAACACCAACCAGGTAACTGAAAGACTGTCCATTGTTAGAAAATTCAAATTTTAAGAGGTAAAACAACACCAAAAAACCCCAAGCTGTGTCCAAGCAAGCAGTGAACATTCTCTTATTCTTCACAGTTCTTACCTGAGGAGAAAAAACATCACTTTCCTCTCCCCATAATAGTAACAAGATAAAATAAGTTATGATTTAGAAATAAGAATGGGGAAAAGAAGATGGAAATTGAGGTAACTTAAATTTAATTTTAAAATTTAAATAAGTAATCTCTCCCAAGCAGGGCACAGTCTGGATGTTTCTATGAACCCCAAATCAACGGGATATTTAAATTTGCTTTATAATTAGAAGAGAAGGTTCTTGCCATCCTGTCCAGGGGTGATTCCAGTTTAATAAGAATTTTTTCCTCAGACACAAGTCCCAAAAAGTTGTCAGATGCTCTCCTGACCCTGGAGTCCACGAGTTCTTCTGATTTGGTAATTCTAGGATATATAAAATAATTTTGGGAAGCAAATCCAGAGTTGTTGTTTTGATTTGTGTTTTCAACATTTGGCACTGAGGTGATTAAATCAAAGCCTCCCAAGCCCCTTCTTTTGGGGTTTTTGTTTTCCAGCACCATGTTCCATTCCCAATTTTCTTGGCTTTATTAAAACAAATTCCTCTCCTCACCCTCAGTGATTGGTGCTGTGCTCATCCCTGTTTAATTATATTTTACTATTTCTATTCTGTGCATTTCACCAGGAAAATTCCCATTTCAGGGAAGAAATTATAGCCTTTTATTTGCCAAATCTTACTATTTTTTGCTACTTCTTAACTTCTAGACCCAGAGTTTCTCCTATTTTATAATGTTACTATTTGACACCACTGATCATCTTTAATTGCTGTGGTTATTGAGGTTGCCTTAATTTCCCTTCTCAGCAGTCCAGAGCTTTTATTCCCAAATATTTGCACTCATTTCCATCCATCCCATTATTTATGGATATAGATATTTATGATATTTATAGATATGGATATAGATATTTATGGATATTTATAATCCTTTCTGAGCAGGATTTGGATGCTGAATGTTCAACACTCAAATTTTGTACCCCGTGAACCACACGTTACCAGCAAGAAAAAGGTAAATAAATAAAACCCTGCAATCAAATCCATCACCCAGTGATGCACTTCCATCCTCCAAAAATAACAAATTCCACCACACACACCCTGAAAATTACCTGGGAACTACAGATATTATCTGTGGAAGAAACAAGAGCTGGAATACCAAAACTTGGTCCATGTGGTTAAAATATAATTAAAAGCTTGGGCAATAAGCAGCTAATTGTGGGGATTCACAGGGTTTTTTCTCTCAGGAGCTATTTCTGAGGAGGAGCTGTTCTGAATTGCTGGCACAGACACAGAAAAGAGATTTAGCAATTAAAATACTTCAAAACAAAGGGGAAAAACAAGCCACAGACTGAAATATCACCATGAGAGGCTCCTTTAGACATCTTCTGCTCTCAGAAATTCAGTGTACAGGGGTTTTCACCGGCTCCAGCCCCAAATCTAACAGAGCAGAAATCCAAATATTCCTCTCCCCTGTTTTGTTACAGAGCTGGATGCAGGCTGGCAACTCACTTTTGTTTTTAAAAATTATGCTTATACCACAAACCACTCAACATTTCACATGGGTCTCGTGGAAAGAACATTCCCATTCTCCTGGAAATCCAACAGAATTCCCTTCTCTGGATTAAAGCTCACTCCTGAGCCCTGTGCTGCTGGGAGGGCTCAGCAAGAGGCTCAGTGAAGGTTTCTGCAGAATTTTAGGGAATAACACAAAAATAACACAACCTCCTTAAAAAAAACCCAAAACATTCTCCAGGCTTTATCCTAGATATTTGTGGGGAAAATGGAGGTAAAAAGTTATTCAGAAAGTTGTGGAAGTAAGTTTTAGAAATAGAAAAAGACTTTCTAGCTAGTTGTGAAGTTTGAAAGTAGAAAAGTTGTAATAGTACAGTAAGTAAGGACATCAAATAATAGTTTTAGGTTTGGTTAAGACAGATTTTAAGACTGTCGAAAAATATGTTTAGTAAGATAGTAGAAGGTTTTAAGTTTAATAATGGAGTATTGTGTATTGTTAGTAGAAAGTATATGAGTAAGTATTGTTTGAAATAAGTGTATGTGTGTTCTTAGTGATTGGCTAGAGTAATATATAATAATAATTATACAATAATATATAATTATATATTTATATATAATAGTAATATTGGCTAGAGTAACTATCTGTAAGTTTTAGTAATATGTTATTGGTTAGAAAGTTTTTAAAATGTTTTGTAACAAAGAAATCTTGGGCTGTTGTTGGTAAGACCTGAGTTGTTGTTCTTTTTAAATTGTTTTAACTATGTAACAAAGTTGATATTGTAATAAAGTTTAAGGAATGTATCTCAGCCTTTTTACCTTTCCTATTTTCCCCACAGATCTTCAATAAATAATTAAATGCAGGCTGTGTATTCTGCAAGCACCAAACTAAAGAACAATTCCTTCAGCAGCAGAGAATGGAACATTTCCCAATTTTCCAGCTTTTGCCTGGGCATCAACCATCACAAAATATCAATTCCTATTTTTCTGAACAATAATTATAACAATAATACATGGAAGTACCTTTTATCTTTTAGATAAGGGAAGAAATGTCACTTGAGGCTCTGGAATTCTGTGGCTCCAACCCTTGGAGCCATCCCCAGAGTGGGGGAATGGCAGGAGGAGTTCCCAGGTGGGGCTTCAGAAATGTACACCACTGCCATCTTCTAATACTTTGTTCAACCACTAATAGTCAATAAAATTTACATTTTTGAGCTGATTCCTTCTTCTCTTTAAACCCCCAGAGATGATAACAGCAGCAAACCCATTTCCTCTCCAAATCTTCCCTGATGAACAAACCAGGAAATCTCTTCCTACACTCCTCCAACTGTTTATTCAACCATTTAATTACCACCTTAGCAAAATTACCTCAATAAAAGCAAACACAGGCTTGGCATTCCTTCCTGCTGGCTCTGAAAAGGGTGATTTTGGACATTTTGGTACTCCCAGGATCTGCTCCAATCTCTGACACCGCCTCTTGAATTCCAGCAGGAAAGAACTCATGGATCACCTGGATGTGCACTGCCAGGTGAGCCACAACCCTCTGGCAGGAGCAACCCCCTGTCCTTGGAGCAGGGCAGGCTGCAAAAAAACCCTCCAATTTCTTTGGAGAAGTGACAAATGAGGTGTGGGAATGCCCAGAAGTGAATGGATTTTATTCATGGAGAGTGTGTGAACATTAGCAGAAGCAAGAGTTGTCACAGGAAGCTGGCCAGGATGGTTTTGTCCAGAAAAAGGGAGAGATGTTTTAGTTAACCACTGTTTTTTTTTCTGTTCTATTTTTTGAGAATGTGACTTTCAGCATGAACCAGGTGCACTTTTCACTGAGATAAACCCAAGTTTAGCAAGGAATAATGTCCTGAATTGTAAGATATGTTTGTGTTCTAGCACCACCTGTAGAGCTGGGGCAGCTCTCTGCTGTTCTTTGGGCAGTTTTTTCTTTATCGCTCCTGCCATCAATCCTGCCTCCAGGAGATCTCATCTGTTCATGGGCCATTAATTATTAATTATCTTCTGTTCATGGGCCATTAATTATTAATTATCTCCTGTTCATGGCTGAGAAAATTCCATCATCC